CGTATCGCACTTGAAAGGTAAAAAAAGGCCTTTCGTAAGGAGAACAACGATTTTGTCGAAAGGTGGAACTTTATTTAACAAAAGTGCCATCTCTCAACGTCTGCCTTGGGGGAAGCTAAAGGCTTCTCCAATACACGAAGAGCCATTTCTTGTTAAAATTCTCAGCGTTTCTTGCCATACTAGGCCTGTTCTCCCATTTCTATGATTTTTTTTTCAACGACTAGGGTGTACCGTTTGTGTTCTTATTCCTCCCGGGCACTTAAAACCTAAAATAATCAAGGCGTGTTCAAATTAAGTCTCGACTGGTGCTCTTAATTGTAAAATGCCTCCTCGGCTTTGTAATTTCAATATTAAAAAAAGGTATTAACACCAGTTTTTTCCTCCAGTTTCGAGTGAGGCTCGTTTTAACAAAATAAGTTGCTCTGTTAATCTCAGGGGTGAAAAAGCAGCGCTTTTCACCGAAAGCATGTATCGTTGATATTTTCAAACTCATTCCATCATTTAAGGATATTCATAAATTTGTTTTTTTTTAATAAAACTGAAATTAATAAGTATGCACACTTCTTCCCAAAGTTATCCGACTTTCAAAAGTCACCTTAGCAAATTAATATTTCAATTAAACTACTAATCTTGATGATTTTTTTCAACTCATTATTTTCATATGAGGCAAAATGACTCACTTCTGAATAAATCATGAAGCCAGGCAAACTCAAAATAATTCTCTTTATGCTAGTGCATGCGAAGAGTTTGGGGATAATTAATAAACACTACCAAAAACTATCACCACTAGAACAGTGTGATAAATTATAATAACATGGCATTATTTATGAAGCAATTAGTAAATTAACTTTGTAAATATTTATTATTCCGTGGCCTAAAAGCTGTTTTATGCCAAAGAAACAAGTGCTGTGCTATCTCATATCCTTAGATAATTCTATTAATCAATTTTAAATTCATTTAAGAAATATTTACAAATCTAATCTTCTTGGACAAGCGAATTAGAATGCTTGCTTTTTTTGTTAAAAGCGCGCATTTGGTCGATCGATTAAATTGCATGCGTAGATATGGATCAATAAATACGCGTATAGTTGAGCTATAATTATACTACTCAGTTAAAGTTAAAATCTGACTTGAATTAGTGAATAGTATGCAATTAATAAGGAGAATGGAAGTCGTAAATTGAGTATATTTTACAAATTAGAAATATAAGTAAAATGAACTTCCTTTTCCTCGGTTATAGGCAAAATTAAAAACGAAAAAAATAAGTTGTCTGATGAGTGTCTCAAGAGACCTATTCATTTGTCACTCTTTCCTCTTTTCCATGCCAAAACGAGAGACAGGTGGATGAAGAATGAAAGAAACTGCTTAATTAAAGAGATGTATGAATGGTGGAATTAGAGAATGCATATACTTATAGACCACGCCATATATATAAAGACATAAATGTTTCTCAAAACGTCAAGCTCCTGCCTTCTCCCACAATCTATAGTTATATTGGGTTAAAGTCATTTGAATATACACAATAAATTCCCTCCAACTATTAAAACAAAATTTCAAACGCTTAAATGATTTTTATTTTGGAGCGGTTATTTTAGGCAAATATTTACAGAACAAAATATGTTGTAAGTTAACATTTTTGATCTAACTGGTACCTCAAACATTTAGTGGCTGAACTCAGAAATATAAGCACATTAAAGCTTTAATGGTTTCTTTCATTGGAAATCGATTAATTTGTAATAATCAGCTTGTTTAGCTTCAGAACTAGGAATGATGAAAAGTCCTGTCTAAAGGAGATTAAAGCTGACAAAAAAAGAACAAATCAATAAAACAAGAAACAATAAAAATGTAATAAAGGAAGCCAGATTAATGTAACTGATGAACTCCTTTTAAGCTAGGTGTTGGATGTTAAAATTATAGTTACTACTCTCCTCCATCTCATTGTGGATATGAAAATTTATTGAATAACTCAAGGTGATGGGACTATCCACGGAAGTAAATCGATCTAGCAGCATGATTCAACTCTATTATGGAAAGAATTTTGAAGTTAGGTGATGACGATTGAACACTAGGATTTCATGGAAGAACTCTGCCTCCCAATGATGATATGAACAACACATAGATCTAGAATTCAAATAAAGTTGGGTTCGTGATGTCCTGACTTCAAGGTCACCCGAATTCCCCCCTCCCCACCAACCTCTAGCCCCGATATCACTGCCTATTGAAGTCGTTCGTTGTTTTCCTTATTCATTGGCTATCATGCAGTTAAAACCTAACATGCTTATTTGCGCTGCCATGGGCAATCATCTTTTGATACCATAATGCCACAGGCATGCTTCGGTAACGATTTGATTGACATGCAAATATCTAAAAACTGGAGTACCGCGACGTGATTTCATTGAAAGTCATTGAAATAGGTGTTTTAATAGAAGTTACTAGTGGAATGGAGATATGCATACTCCCAACTGAAGAGGTTCCAAAACACGTATGCTGAAACAAGCTCTAAAATTTCGAAGATACCATCTGGATACGTGAATGGGACAACCGAAGTTTCCATCTGGCGAACCGGTGATATCAACTTGCGCTTTCGGCTAAACCTGATATTAGACAAATTTATTCACTTTAAATGTATATATTTAATAATTGCACAGTACATATCTAGCCAGACAGGTCTTATAAGAATTGACGCTTAGACTAAAAGCGAACCGGTTTTGGGAAGGTAGCCTTTTCATTGATTTGTTTAAATGAAATTTGTTGCTAACTGAATATGTTGGGAATTTGGAATACAAATGTTGTTTTTTTGCGTTCAGTACTTTTTTTCAACCAACTTCGTCAACCTTCTGAATGAAAATTGCAAAGCACTTTCGCCATAACAGCAATTTCACTTGGATTTAAACTTTACGTAAATTTAAACAATTTCAGTCATTCATGCAGTTAAATAAATGTTGCGAAGATTTTACCAAGATCTTTGCAATAACTGTAATAAAATGAATTATGCATTCAGTGGAAATGGTTTATTGCGTTTTACTGATTTAATTGTTGGGGCTAAATATTTTTTTTATTATATCAAATGGCAAGCGTTCTAATAGTTATCATTAGCCCATTAGTTGACTTTGGGCTTCACAGAGGAGAGGAACATCAAATTGAAAAAAAGTCGAGTGGGGGAACAGAAGAGTGATTCACAGGTGTAGAAGTGACAGGCATAAAGGTAAAAAGATAAGATGAGTACCGCAAAAGTGGTCGAATATGACATACAGTTGGTTGATGATAATTTGAAATTTTTTGATATATGTGTTTACGTTTCCCAGGCTCCATCACGTGGAGGTAAGTCTATCGCACACCCCTTGTCGCAAAATATTAAAGTTGTAGGGCTCATCTTATACCAGCTGAAAAGAGGTTCCAAAAATAAGATACATCATTGTTATCATTCATACTTTAAACATGCCCAAATTGAGTTACAAGCCGCCTTTTGATGTTTGAAAGGCTTAAACTGGTGTATGATTTATTTGTAAATTTTAAATTATGTGCTATGAAACACCACCTTTTCCGTTGTCCCATAATTGAAACAATAGTTAATATTCAACCAAAATGAAATTCTTACGTATTCCGAAAAGTTGGGCGTAAAGACCTTGACATATTAGGCTAATTCGTGAAGCGCTTTCTTGACAAGGTCATCAAACTTCAGCTGAGGAAGGTGGAGGCGAAGCTAATTTGATTTAAAAAATGGAAGATTGACAACACAGATATATGACTTCATTAATCGATACTGGCCGTACAGGACTGAATAATCCAGTTGTACTCAAGCCAAGGAACTTTTTTATTTAAAATCTCTATTCCACCACTTAATCTTTAAATGCGAAATTGATTTCACATAAACTATGGATTTAATGGTTCTCTCCAATTGGCTGCCACGTCTTAACCAACCAGGTTTGAGCAAAGCGCTGACATAAATATAATTGGAATTTATATATCGATCGCTCGTTCAAATTTGAATATTTTTCACAATTTTTTACTAGGGCTCGGTTCATCTGTTTTCAGTGATGTGGTAAGGGCTTTTGATTAGAGAATTTCATCGAAATTTAGTAATAATGATTGTTTTAACTATCTAATACCCATGAAAAGTTATTTGAATATTTGTTGATTTTGAAATTATCCTTAAAAAAGTTGGTCGTAGAAACGGCAGTGATGTCAGGGGTTTTGATGAACAAAGAGCTTGTGGACCTTAGGATGCTGTACAAAGGACTTTATAATTTATCAACACGAAAAATGAAACCTTGGTTACAAACTTAGTCAAAATATCTGTGGTTTCTCTGGTTCTATAGGATAACTTATTTCACAAAGACGCAGAACCAGATTAAGGATTTACTAAATAATTAAAAAAGTGTGGGGCTCATTTTCGAAACGTTACCTTGTGGATTTAAAGCCAACATTGTTGGTACAGACGTTGGAATTTGTCGTAATGTAATGCTTAGATGTATCATTCATTAAAAAAATAGTTTTGGATCTAAATTTTGATGGAAAGTCGAAGTTCTTTTGAACTGCAAAGTGTTAGAAATCTCTTACTATCTTTAGAGAATACGACGAAAACAGGGTAAGCTACGCTTGATACTGCTTTAGAAATCTGGAATATTTATACCACATTGAAGGGCCGTTGCGAATGCCGATTGCTTTGAGTGGTTATGGGAACCATTTTTAAACCCATGCCTGTCGGCGAATCCTCACAATTATCTAAGAAATTGATATCATCTTATAAGACAATTTCCTCCCGGAACGTAGAAAATTCAACATCAATGTTGACAGTGGTATGAATCAACAGAAGTCAGGTGATTTCAATTATTTAAATCAACTTTCCAAGACTGTGACCTCCCTTCATAAACATTTAATTGAATGCTGACTGTGTAACAATATGCACTTTGCTCGATTTTGACAATATGAGTCTCAGAAATCAATTACGTCGTTACACAGGGACATAGAGAAATGATGTGCGAGCGAAAATTGAAACCTCAGAATGGCACAGTGAATCTGATGATAAAACCAATAAGAGAGGTACATGAAGCGGAATGAACTTAGTCAGAGAAGGACCCCCCCCCTACCCCCAAACGAGTCACAGAATTGGGCAGAAAGACAGGAGGATACTAAATCGTCTTGAACGAGGTCTTGCAGTGAAGGCTGCAGAGAAACAGAAAAATCTGATCTTTCTGCAAGATCAATAGCCGATGCAGCGCTTTCTTCCTCATAGAAGAAGCGAAAGTTCCAAACCAACCAAAAGAAAGCGCAAGAACAGGTCCTAGGTTCCAAGTGAGCAGTAGTGCCTGAAAGCTGTTCCTTCCTTATATTTTCCTATATAGAGGTGTGCGATAGACTTACCCCCACGTGGCGCACCCTGGGCAACGTTTACTCATACGGCAAAATAAGTGTATTAACCGGCAGTTGACTTCTGACTTCAAACTGACATGACCCCATTGTATGTCATATTCGACTACTTCCACAATACTCACCTCACCTTTTTTCTACCTTTTCTACCTTTGTCTTTGAAGCACTCTTCTGTCCACCCCCCCCCTCACGACTTTTTTAACTTTGATATTCCTTCCCCTTTGTGAAACCTGAAGTCAANATGAGTAGCCTATCGATTTTTTTGGAAAAATCTGCCACAATTACTGTCAACTAATAGCAACATCTATCTTAATTAGTTCCCGTTTGGATTTTATTATTATTATTATTGGCAATGGAAATCTTGCTTTATTTGGAATTTGCATGTATTCGCCGAGGTTTTTGTTTTCCAATAAGAGACATATTTAATTGTGAAAATTTATTAATTAGTAAAGTTCGAATTCCGTTATTTGGCTTATAAATTCTTGAATGGATTCATTGTTTGGTTCTTCTTAACTAGTTCTTCATGTTATTTCGAGAAACGATTAGTAATTTAAATGAAGATATTACTCGATCAAAAGTAAGTTGAGGCGTCAGTTGGTCTTTTTGTAAAGGCAAAATTTTCACCCAATGAATGAAAAGAATCGATGTTGCATACCTTGGGCTTAACATGGGATAAAATATTTTCAATCCTGGGGTGCGCGTAACACTTACCTCCTCGTGGGGCACTCTGAACAACGTATACTCATACGGCAAAAAGTCTATTAACCGGCAGTTGACTTCTGACTTCAAACTACCATGACCCTACTGTATGTCAAATTCCACCACTGCCACAGTACACACCTTACCCTACTCTATACCATTGTGTCTGTCTCTCTTTCATCTGTGAATCATTCTTCTGTTCCCCCTCTCGACTTTTTGTGAATTTGGTGTTCCTCCCCTCTGGGAAGCCTGAATTCAACTAAAGGGTCTAATGACGGCTATCATAAAGCCTGCCATTTGATATAAATAAATATCTTAAATCCCTTGTAGCTTAATTGAAGACAAGTACCTATTCCCTAACTGCATGCTTTGCTTGTGCATAGTAATTGTATGAGTACGTCTGCATGTCTGTGTATATAGGAGCCTAAAACGGGGATGTGCAAACAGTTAGTCATTGTCAATATTCGATGGACTGACATTTTTCTAGACCTAGAGTTGCAAATCGATAATTTATATGCTGACCAATCTTTGAATTACCGAGATTCATTATTATGGATCATATTTTATTTGACTTATGTAAATATCCTCTCTTTTTTTGCACTTAGACGATGGAAAGCTCTACGATGAAGAAGAAGAAGATGACGGAACGTTGAGTCGCATCGCGCTAAAGAAAGAATCGGAACAACTCATCGAAATGCGCACAAAGAAGAGAGTCACTACAGACAAGGGAAAGAGGGGTCGTTGAAGGCGTGAACAATAGGTGCTCACTTCCATCGAAACCAGAATGGTGGCACTATCTCCCAAAGCGCACTATTAAATGAAACAATTGAGTAGAGATAATTATCTGCATCTTTTTTTAAAAAACTGGGTCACATTATGTACCAGTACACGCAAAGTATTAATTAGAGGCATATTGGGAATGAGGCCAGAGTTACTGGAGTCTCCGAGTTTGTTTTTGACAGCCGCGATGAGTCATAGTGTGGGACTTCGAGACCACTTTGGGAAAGCTTTGTCGGGTGCTAAATCATAGCGACAGAGACCAGAACCTCACGCCTATATTCTGTCATCTCAGGCGGCTTGATGAGGGGAGGAGGGGGGGGGGGGGTTGGAGGGGTTGGAGGGCGATAGCTTACTCACTTTGCCAAAGTGGTATTTTAACTTCTCTTTCTCTATCTGATATTCGTCTGGACAATAGCACCAAGCCTCCAACCAAGAGCAGGTGCTATCTAGGCCATCTGAGATACGATGATATTGGTAATAATACGACTTTTGTAATCAGACACAACCGTGTCTGGAGGGAGGGGGTGGGGGGGGGGGCACTCAGACAGATTTGTGTCTATAAGCATTTACGAGGGGGAGGGTTATTCCCCCATGACCAGTCCGATCGAATGCTACTGTCTGTCTGCATCCTTTTGAGATTCCACTGAATTTCACATTGCGAAAAAAATTAAGAAATTCTTGCGATCAGCTTTGAAATCACCTCTTATATTTTGTGTAACCGCGTGGCGTTCTTTCAAATTTTGAGGTTAAAAAATGAATTCCTCAAGTAACTGAATCAAGTCTCGTGTTGTTGAGAAGAAATCAATTTTGTCCTACTTCAAATCAAATTAATGTTGAGATTGGTGATTTATGAATTGTGGGAACCACGCATGTTAAGGCATACCATTTAAATCAAATGTTGATTTTTGGGATGTGTGATAGACTTACCTCCACGTGGTGCACCCTGGGCAACGTATACTCTTACGGCAAAAAAGTCTATTACCTGGCAGTTGACTTCTCACTTCAAACTACCATGACCCCACTGTATGCCATATTCGACTACTTTCACACCTCACATTTTTTCCACCTTTTCTACCTTCGTCTTTGAAGCACTCTTCTGTCCCCCCCCCCCCCTCGACTTTTTTCACTTTTATGTTCCTCCTCCCCTCTGTGAAGCCTGGAGTCAACTGAAGGGTTAATGATAACCATCAAAACGCCTGACATTTGATATAATAATAATAATACTATTTCAATAAATTGTTTGCCAATTGGCGACGGAACAAATGACCTTGAATGAGGTCCAGTGGCTTAAGGTTTTGCACTTGGAAAAGTGGGACGGGAAAGTGGAGGAATATTTATTTATTTCAAATGGCAGGCTTTATGATAATTATAATTAGCCCTTAATCTTTGACTTCAGCTTCCCCCAAGAGAGGGGGGGGGGTACATTTACAGCAGTAAATTAATAGCAATTCATTAGCTGTCTTCTTGCTTCCCAGTATCTCTGGCTCTCCGTACTTGTCTTTAGGGCTGGACACCGAATCAGGTGGGTCTTCTCCATTTCCTCCTGTAGGTTACATAGAGGGCATGTGGGTTGAGTGTATAATCCCAATCTGTGAAGGTGTTNCTTACAGTGCTTGTTGGTGGGGGCATTGTCTCAGTATCTTGCGTCTAGAAAATAGAAATAAGGTGGTTTGAGAGCCAATGAATCTTATAGATGTGATCAAATCAATGGAATAATGCAGCCAACTGAAAGTATATTATGCAAGTCTATTAACCAGCAGTTGACTTCGGACTTCAAACTACCATGACCCCACTGTATGTCATATTCTACTACTTCCACAGTACTCACCTCACCTTTTCGACCTTTTCTACCTTCGTTTTTGAAATGCTCTTCTGTCCCACCCCCCTCTCGACTTTTTTTCACTTTTATGTTCCTCCTCCCCTCTGTGAAGCCTGAAGTCGACTAAAGGGCTAATGATAACCATCAAAACGCCTGTCATTTGATATAAATATTATGCAAGTACACAGTCGTCTTCTTTCATAGTGGAGACATTAAAGTTGATGAGCTTACAGGGCGCAGAACGATCAACACCAGTGGTCAAAAGACCGGCTGCCCTTGGTAAATAGACTCAAAGTATCTCAGTGATACGATTCCAGCGTACCCAACCGTTTGTCTCGGTTTTAGCCCCCACCAGAACAAGAGGAAGGTAACTTATTCGTAGGTCAACTATGGACACTCTTTTTTTCACTTTATTAAAGAGCGAAGTAGATCCACATGAATCCTCTTAAGGGGGAATCCCATGGTAAGCATTAGAGACAATCACTCATCAGATATGAACATGGAGGTATATGGGAAACGAGTTCCATTCCGATATCTGTCACGACTCCACACCCTCCTGACCGAAATAACGAGTATCAAACATGTCTTTCTGTCTCATGACCTCGAGTTAAAACTGATCTCAAAAGCCAACATCACCAATTTTCCCAGTTGTTTTGGCATGAAAGTGGGAGAGATGAGCAGTTCCCATAGTTGAAATCTTAACCAACCAACCCTCATAACGAATATGCCCTTGGCAGTTAGACGGGTCAAAACCCGTAAGTGTTTCGATCACGCATAGACTCCGCCAAAGAGCGCCTCGGAACAGCTGAAATTGTTTTTACCTTTCTCTTTGAGTCTGATTCAACTACAATCTAGCGATAAATAGTCAGGACGAATATAATGGCGACAGGAAATAGACTACGTAACATTACAACGGAATAGAATGGATATATATCTTAAAATCAACTTCTTGCACAACGTTCTTTATGTGCCAGCTTACCAAGTCGAGTGTGATAGTGGCATTCGGAGAAGTCGGTCTTCTAAGTCTGGAACGGGAGGCTGTATTTGTCGCGTTCTTCGCCGCAGACCTTTGTGGTCTTGACTTAACAGAAGTCCTGACTCTTCGTCGGGTAGTTTTCGGGGTTTCGGTCACTTTCACCTCCTTTTTGGGGACTTCAATCAATGTAATCTCTACGTCATCATCATCATCATCGTCTTCTTCTTCCTCCTTCTGTTGTTGCCACGATCTACTTTCCTCCGTCCTCAGGAGTGTAGTAGTTCCACGTAAAGGCGGATTTTTAGTAGTGCGTTTCACTGCTTCTTCCTCCCTCTCAGATTCACTCTCCTCGTCATCAGTGAAGACCAGCATTGTAGAAGGTACAGACGGACCTGAATACAAAAGATTACATTGCCATAATTAAAATACTACCCAAAATAGTCGTGAAGTTAGCTCGTAGCTAGCAACAAAAAGTAACGACGCCAAGCATGAGTAATCTCATAATACATTCGCTCAACCAGACATAATTAATTCCCCAGGGTCTATTCTTCTCGTCTCAACTCACCACATTCTTTGCAGTGATAATCGATAAGAATTTGAAGATGGCTGGTAATATATCTGCTATACTTAACCTCCCCCCCCCTCAAAAAATATTATTCAGGGACCTAGAGGATACCTTCAACTCGAAGTACGGCCTTATCGACTCAGAAATGAAGCATTTTCTTTCCCTCTCGACTTCAAGTTACTCATTCCACCCCACTCCNCCCCCCAGATCATTTTGACGTCTATTCTTTCATCATTCGTTATTTAATCAATCTCTTACTAAAATTTCTTCTTTCAGGTTGTCATATATTTCTTTTTTATCCATTATTTAATTAAATGGGATTCGGAGAGGGAGATGTATGGTTTGTGTCGGTCTCTCAGACTGCCAATTTCGACCTAGGTGGTTCCAAACTATCACCATGACTCCCAGTTTTGTTTAAACGCACTTGTTCCTTAGTTTATTCTCCAGTTTTTGGACATTTTGGATGACTTCTATTGAGGCCATATTTAGAATATCACAAGATGACACCCTTTGGGGAGTTCCTCAATCCCTCAATTTTATCCTTTTTTAGTTGTACCACTTCAATTTCACATGCGTTCCCGAATTCCAAGAAAATAGATGTAAACGGATGGCTCATTTTAGACCAACTCTGATTGCCATCTCACCAATATTTGATTTCATGAGACTTAAACGCAGATCATGAGAAAATATATGCCAGTTAAATTTCTTTACATAAACAAAAAGACACTTTGATTACCGCATCTTTTGCATCTTTAACATTCTCGCGGTTTTAAGTGGCGAAATTCGTAAAAACACATCTGTTTGGCGGTTCGAATATAAACTTGACGAAAGATGTTTGATACTGGCAAAAAAACGAGACGGAATTGATTTTTCCGATAATCCAAGCCCCTTGGTGAAATATTTGAGGCTGTATATTATCAGGGAAGATGTATTTAGGGCTATTCGCTCCAAGCTCCTCGCAAATACTGCAGGAATAATTGGAGATTACTTGCAAAGTGATTTAAAATAGTTATTTATTTATCTCAAATGGCAGGCGTTTCGGTAGTTATCATTTGCCCTTTAGCTGACTTCGGGCTTCACAGAGGGGAGGAACATCAAAGTTAGAAAAATTCGAAAGGGGAACAGAAGAGTGATTCACAGATATAAAGGAGACAGACAGACACAAAGGCAGAGAAAAGGTAAGAAGAGTACTTTGGGGGTTGTTGGATGTGACAAACATTGGGGTCATGGTAGTTAGAAGTCAGGAGTCAATTGCCGGTTTAAAGACTCGTTGCCAGTGTGCACCACATGGATGTAAGTCTATCGCATACAACCGACTTGTAATTGTTCCCGTCCAATGATTGTCGATTTACTGTGGTTTCCTGTCCATCGCATTTTCAAGCATAATTTCAACAACAAGATATTCATTCGCCACTTCCATTTTTTGATCTTATTTTGCAAGCCTTTGTTATACCTTTTTACTGCCTTTAGGGGGTGAGTGGGTTTAAATTCGCTCTCCTCTTCTCCACCAAGCCTCCTGGTAGATTCACATCATCTCTCCTCTTAATATCATTTATTAATATCAAATGGCAGGCGTTTTGATAGTTATCATTAGCCCTTTAGTTGAGTGCAGGCTTCACAGAGAGGAGGAGGAACATCAAAGTGAAAAAAAGTCGAGATGATGGAAGTACGAACAGATGAGCGTTTCAAAGATTTAAAGGAGACAGACACAAAGGTAGAAAAAAGGTGAGGTGAGTACTGTGAATGTAGTCGAATATGGCATACAGTGGGGTGATGGTAGTTTGAAGTCAGAAGTCAACTGCCAGTTAATAGACTTTTTTTGCCGTATGAGTATACGTTGCCCAGGGTGCACCACGTGGAGGTAAGTCTATCGTACATCCTCCTCTTACTATCATAAAACTCAATAATCCAAATGCACATTCAACTAGTGATTTCAAAGCTATGATCTCCTCTTATTAGT